CCCCCCCCCCTCTCTCCATAACCCCCCTTCGCAATACTTTGTTAATAGTAATAAATCAAATTACTGAATGTATTCAAAAACTATGATTTATTTTGAAAATGGCATATTCACAATATTAGCAAAAAAGAATTCTAAAGGGAATGTGTATGTAACTTTTTCGTGATCAGTCAATAATTTTTTATAAATTTTTTGAAGAAATGTAAAAAAATTACTTGGGGAGAAATTTTATACACGCTAAATTTATTTAAATTAAACTTTAAAAATAAAAGTATAAAAACCTTTAGCTAACCAACAAAATAATGTTTTTCATTATATTTTGCCTATTGATTTAATAGTATATTGAAAGTATATAAAATAGAAAAATAAATAAACCTGATTTATTTCACAGTAAGTAGGGCGCTACTTTTAATTTTATATTATAAATACATAATAATATTATAATATATTTATAATTAATTCTATCATCAACTTTTTATTTTATTTAATTTTCATTTAAAAATCTGCATTAATCATAGTTCTCAAAATAATTTCAAATGTCGACGATAGAGATTGATATTGAGATGATAACTTTGCCACAGATCATATCGACAAAGTAATTTCCCTGGAAAATGAAAAAATATGGAATTTCCTTTTCCTGAATTCGCAAAATATTTTAATCTCGATAAAAAAAAAATTAACACGGTATAAATTTCATTGTAAGATGTACCGAAGAATTATCATCAAACAAGACTAGCAGCTTCATCGAGGAAACATTTAAAAGTAATATATCAAACACATTTGGTTCCCATTAAATCGTCAAGCCCATATGAGAGATTTACCCATAGCTCATATAGATGTGAGAATAAAAGTCGCTAAATACAAAAAAATTGGGAATTTCACTTATATCTCCCTAAGTTTTTAAGAAAATATGAAATAAATATTAATAGATGGTAAGGAAGTAACCACTTTTATTTTAATTAAGTGTTTTAAAAAATCGCTATAAATGAAGGAAATATGGCAACAATAATATTTCCTCCATTTTTAGCGATTTTTTGAAAGCTCAATCTAAATACAAGTGTTCTTCTTAGCATCTATTCATATTTTCAATATTACTTTTAAAATTTTCTAGGAGTAAGCGAGATTCCCAATTTTTATTTTACCGATTTAGAATGTGTAGCCCAATCCTTAATCTTTAAAATAAAATTTGAATCAAAGCTGTATCTGTAATAGTTTTTGAGGTAGATGAGTTTATGTAAAAGTATTTTCTAGCTCAGTCCAAACATGGTATGAAACTGGCCATAAGATATTACTCAAGAAATATATTATAAATTAAAAATTACAATAATTAATATTAACATTTCATTTTATCATCAAACTCATCTATTTAATAATATTTTATAAATTATTATCCGGATATTAAACATATAGGTTACACGGCCCCGTACCGATCAGTTAATTCACAAATATTCATGCTAAGAATAAATTGTAATCTCATTCATTCAAAATATTTGTGATTTAAGAAAAAGGAAGAATTTGAAATATTAAAAATTTGATGAATTATGACAATATGGATGAATATTTTTTGCATATCACAATCCCATGGATGTTTGAATAATTTGAAATATGTATTACTTCATAACTTATTTTTTGTTTAATTTTAAATGCAATTGAGATTGTGAATTTAGGATTCTTTTGATTTATAGATTTCCTCTCTTTAAAAAAAACAGGTTGATACAACTAATAGGGTGAATATGTTATTAACAGATATGTGGAAATATTTTAAAGTGGATCTTAATTGCTATGAGAAGGGGAACCGAGTTGTTAAGGAGCGGCGCTCCTGGAGTACCGCTACATTTTTTTAAAAACACCTGGAGCGCCCCTCTTTTTTTAAATTGAGCAGGAGATAGAGCTGGCTCCTTTTAGGGCTGGAGTGGAGGAGCGCTGCTCCACCGCTCCTTTAAATTTAATGTATAAATTAAATTAAATTATTTTTTAAATATTAATAATATTTGTAAATCAAAATTCAATAAAAAAGATATTTAATTTTTTTTAATTTATCCATTATTATATGAGCCCGAGTTTTATATTAGTTTTTCATCTAATCATTTTAAATATAAAATATCAAGTTTTTCCTTATATTGAAAATTTTTTGGAAAATCTTGTAAGTCATATTAATATTAATTTTATAGATATATAATAAAAAATAGTTTTAGATATTATGGTTTTAGAGATCATAGATGAAGAAATCGAATTTCCATTTCCATCATACAAAAATATTTTAAACTTCTAAAAGATGTTGTTCCAAATAATCATAAAAATTTAAGGGCAAAATGCCTTATGTGTTTAAATAAAACTATTTAATTTTCAAAAGTGAGCAGCTTCAATCTAAAAAGCATAAATTAAAAAATCTTTCTTATAAATACAAAATGATTTGGAAGATTTTTTTTGGATTCCATGAAATTGATTATCAGGAAGATAATATATTGGACAAATATTTTTTAAATAATTATACCAAAATTACTATTTTTGATAAATTCCCTGAATTAAATATCTTTATAAAATACAATACCCCGCTTCCCTCTAGTGCTCCTGTGGAGCGCCTATTTAGTATTGCAAAAGAGGTCTTAGGGGAGAGGGGTGGATGTTTGTTAGATTCTAATTTAGAAAATTTATTACTTCTAAAAGCTAATAACAGGTTATAAATATTTTGATAGATCATTTAATATAAATAAAATAAAATAAAGCTTTTTGATAAAAAAAATGATTTTGTTTCGTATACCTTCTAAAAATAATGAAAATCAAAGGAGCGGTTATGGAGTGGCACTCCATTACTTGGAGCGGGAGCTAGATCCTTTTAAAAATGTAGTAGCGGGAACGGGAGCTAGCTCCTTTTGAGAAGGTAGGAGCGGGAGCTAGCTACTTTTAAAAGGGAGCGTTAATAACTCTGAAATATTTAAATCCCTAGATTTTGCAATTGCCTATTCTTAATTCGGATTCTTATTCTTTTGGCTGGATAGGCCTTTAGCCATTCAAACTGATCTTGACTTTAACCAATGAACGGTGGCTTGTAAGCTGCTGTGACGTTCGTTGCTCGAAAGTAAATAATGAAAGGATCGCAACAATAGCTGTTCCAATCCTTTTGTGAACTGGTTCTGGCATCAATTTCTTATTCTTTTGGCTGGATAAGGCCTTTAGCCATTCAAACTGATCTTGACTTTAACCAATGAACGGTGGCTTGTAAGCTGCTGTGACGTTCGTTGCTCGAAAGTAAATAATGAAAGGATCGCAACAATAGCTGTTCCAATCCTTTTGTGAACTGGTTCTGGCATCAATGGTCCCTCCTTTATTTTCTAACCGAAAACAACGTTAAGTAACAAATCCTTAATTTATTTGATTATATTAAAAATGAATTCTCGGTTACTGATAGAAGATATGAATGATACGATTGCTAAGTGGAGATCGTAGATTATCCTCCTGATTTCGTGGGAAGGGTAATTTGTAACCACGAATTTTGACAAAATCTTAGATTAAAAAAAATCCTCCAATATGGTTTATATAACTTCGTAATTTTAAAAAATAGTAAGCTTCTGGTGATCTGAGGCAATAAAAAATTTTGGGAATGCTTAAGAAGCTATTAACCATATAATAGGCCTGATGTAAAGGTAAGAATCTGAGTATTTTTATTTTTATAGATTATGAGGTTCCTTTCTAGGAATTGAATACTAGTTGAGCCATCATCTTTGGGTTAATAGAGTAAATAGGTCTAGGGTGGGGAGAGAGTAATTTTTTTTGAATAAATTTTACATTTTTTTATTATTTAATAATAAGTTTAGTTGTTGAAAGCTAAAATAATGCCGAGAACTTTATTTATTTCGTTTTTAGGACCTGAAAATATGGCGTTATAAAAATCCCAAACATTTAGGTTAAAATCACAATTAATCTTTAAATTCTTAATTTTCTAAATAGAACAAGGGCGGACCTTGAGGATGACTTGAAGTTCTTAGGCTTACAAAATTTGCGTTGCTCCTGTAGAGCCTTCTTTAGTCTAAAGAGGCTCAATTTAAAAAAAAAATTATATTACAATATTCTTTTTCAGTGCAAATAAATATCTCTCACACCATTATTTTTCAAGAAAAAATAATAATGCTTTTGAGCCATTTTGATAAAGTTCCTATCGGGACTCGAAAAGAGATGCTAAACAATTATTAATGATTTAAATGCGTTCAAAGAAAAAATAATTGAAAAGTGATTCCAAATAATTTCTAATGATTTAAATGCGTTTCCTTTTTAAAACTCAAAAAGTTTTAAAATCTTGATAAAATTATATGTTGGCCGGGTGGAATCGAAAATTTAACATTGGTTTATATGGTCTCCCTCAATTTTAGGCAAAAATAATTTTCTTTTCTGATATCAAATTTCAATCTAAACCGAATTCGAATTTATATTTTGGATATGTTTTCTTTTTTATAATAAAAAAAAACTTATTTCTTCTTTTTCGATAAAGTTTCAAAAGTTTGCGAATAATTTTTTTGATATTTTGGAAATAGCGTAAGAAAAAATAATTTTAAGATTTCAAGATAAAAAAAATAATTGTAAACAAAACCATATTGCAAATTTATTTTTTTTCATAAAAATTTTTTTAAAATAAAATACAATTAATTTTCCGATAACAAATCAATAAATAAAATTTATAAACTCACTCAAGATATTTTCTATAATTTTTTAAAATTGATAAGCAACAGACATGCATATTCAAAAGTTAAGCCAAGTAAATAATTATTTATACTTTTTATAAGATTGTGTCCAAATTATCAAAAAATTAAATGAATAAACTTTCGAAACTTTAATGTATAAACATGCCAAAAACATAATACTAAAATTTTTTAGTTAATTTCATAAATTTAATGTATGTTTTCAATTAAAATTAGCGAAAGTTTTTAAATTTTTTAAATTCCTAAAAAAAATTTGGACATAGCATAAATGTTTAGCTTTTCTTCGGAATTAATATCAACTTTTGTTAGTTCCATGTCCCTTAAGATCCTCTTAGAATATTTCCATTCGAAATCCTACATTCCATTGTCCGTTAGCCACTTCGCTCTATTTTTCTTGTGGACCATGACGATCTGTCTAATATTCGATAACCGAAGTTTTGGATGTCCCTGTTTTTTGTTTATGGATTATCTCAAAAAGAAAATGGAATCGGGGGAAGATGACAAATCACGAGCAGCCAAATACAATTGGTTATATCTAATAAGGTTGTTAGGGGCTCAATTCTTGGGTTTATTTTTAACTTTTCTGTGTTTGCGGTTGGCTAACATAGGTTATTATTACGGAATTCACGATGCCCAAGCCATTTTTTCTAGAAAAATCGTCACCTTCAGTTTAATAAAAGTGAGGAAGAAATTCGATCCAGCGCTGGCTCGCGCCTTGATAACCGTAAACGCCATTTGCAGCTCTGATTTAAAAGTAACGCCGTATCTAGGATTCCTCGCCGAATTTTCGGCTATGCTTGCATTGCTCATCACAATGTATATCGCGGAAAGATTGAAGGATAAATATTCCTGGCACTTGATGAATCGGGACCTACTTGATTTAGTCTCCAAATCGCTAGTCGCTACTTGCTTGGTTTGCGTGGGGGCTCCTTTTACTGGCATGTATTTCAATCCATTACTAGCGTCAGCTCTCACTGTTGGATGCAATGGCAGTACCTTTTATAGAGATATTTTTGTTTATTGGTTAGGACCTCTAAGCGGAGTGTTGCTATTTTATTTCCTAATTCATCAAGCTTCCTCAAATTCGATTAAAAAGAAGAACTATAAGTCCTGATTTCTAAGAAAACATTTATCCCGGATATATGAATTTCCATTCATAATAGAGATGTATGGTTATAAAAAAATATATCCCAATTTGATGAGCGGGTTTAAAGTTGATTTTAAATTTATAATACACCATATAGAAATTCATAGAATGCTTTATATTATTAATTGGTGTCTTCAAAAATTTTGAAAAAATAGGACTGGGTGACGATATAATGAATTGACAAATAGTATAACAAAAGAATAAAATAAATTTATCAACTCAAATCGTTTATAATTTATTTATAATAAAGTATGGGATATTCTGTGTCTACATATAAATCAGATTAAATATAAATTTATTTACAAATTTTAGTTTGTGATATTTAAAAAAGATTAATTATAACCAAATTAAACATTCATTTTTAGACAAAACAACAACTAAAAGTTGGTGCAAATCTTAAAACTTTTTAGAAGACCTTTTACTCCTCTTCGCGCCTTTTTTTGATGAATCAGATTTAGAATTTCTTTTCTTCAAATCGGCAAAATCTTTTGTCAACCCGGGGCTAAAGATCACCTCTCCAAATAATTGATTGCCATTGATACCATTTACATCAGAGACATTTTCTTTATCTCTAATACGGTTATTAAAAATATAAGCACATGATAAGATGTAGGTTAAAAAAATGAACATCAAATATTTAAATTTTTAGATTAATTTCCGAACATATTTGTTTTAATAATTTAATATTATTCTTTTGAATAAACATGGGAGCCATCTCAATTAAAGATAAAATTAATAATATTTAAAAAATTGATTAGTAAAGTCAATCAGCTGATGCATCATGCTTATTATAAATGCACCCTTAGAGATGATTAAGATGTAAAAACAATTAGTTAAAAAAATTTAAATTTAAAAAATAAAATGGCCACCCCTAAATTATATTCTAGTTTAAAGAGGCACGAGGAACTAAATATATTTTTTTATTAAGTCTAAATGATAATAGCTAGCGACACCGCTGAGAAAAGCATTGTAATATTAATTTTGTATTATCACCGTTTAATAGTATCCGTGTTTATATCGTTATTTTTATTATAACCACTAGAATGGCCATTTCCATCCAAGGGATTCGATTTTTGATCATTCACAATCCGACTTTGACTTGAGGATTTATTGTACTTAGATCTTCTTTTTCCCTTTATCGTTTCCAAAGGTTTCGTTTTCTGTATTTATCCAAGCAAATAAAAATTCATAAGTTATTGTATAGTTATGTAGAATATGTTATTTAGAAACATTACTTTCAACCAGATGTGAACCGATATAAAGATTCGGCTGATATTTATAATTATTTCCGATACTAAATTATTCAACCCTCTATAAGATAAAAAAAAATACCCACAATTTTGTTTTAAAACTTTTTACATTTTCTTAAAAAAATATAAAATATTATAATAATTAATCCTTAATAATTATTTGGATCTTTTTGTTTTTTTTCCATAAATGAAGATTAAAAATTTTCTTTCTGCCTCCCCTAGATTTTATAAACCAAAATTAGATCGTGAAATAAGATGAAATAGCACCTACCAAATGATTGGAAGAGGCTTATTGCTAAAGCCTGCTATAACAAAATTAGTCAATGAAGTAATAAATAATATTAAGATTTTTCAAAAAAAACAAATATCACAGGTAAACTAAAATTTATAATTAGGGTAGGGAGTAATATAATCTTAACATATATGAAGAATGGGAGGATTTTATAAAAATTAAAGCTAACATATTGCCTTTATATGAAACTACAAATATGGTAGTGGGGATCCTACTTAAAATTTTGTTATACCTTATTGTATTCTAATCCTTGAACAAAAAATGGAAAAGCCTGATTTCCATAAATCCTTTAACAATGGTTTTAAAGCTATACGAATTGAATAAATGATTATTCGTATTTGGATAAAATTATTTATTATTCGTATTTGTAATTAATAGATTTCGAATAGGCATAATACATACATAATATATCAAATAAATTTATATGAGTGAATACAAAAAATTTAAAAAATATAAGTAAATAAAAAAAGTATATATAATACTTCAGTGGAAATCTTCAAATAATATATTTAATAATGAAACTTATATGATTTTTTTTATTAAATGTCAATCATTTTTATGATAAAATTTTTATCGTTTTTTTGTAAAAGCATTTTTTTAATTATTATTAATTTATGCTTAAAAATCATTAATTTTTTTACGATTTTTTTCATTAAGTTTTTTTTTTAATGATCAATTTTTTTTAGAAGTTTCTCAAAATAATGTTAAAAATTTTACTGTTCTGATATTTTGTTTTAATTATATTGAATAAAATATTTAAACAATTTTGATAAATGCCCACCCTATCTACCCCATTCTAACAGTATTACAGCGGTATCGTAAGTCCTTTACAATTAAATGGGCTCTGGCAGTACGGTAAATTATTGCCCAACCATAGATGCTAATCCACTGTATTGGTACGTCAATGGCATAATGTGCCTATGTATTTAAAATTGTATACCTGATGTTACATGACATATACAAACATTATTAATCCTATGATCAATCCATCCATACTCAACGAATATAAAGCTTTTGGAGAATGTTATAAAAAATTTTTAAAAAGTTATATCTAAAATCATTTATTTTTATAAATAAAATCGAAATCCATCTTTATGTTTATTTTTTTATTAACAATAATTCATTAATAAACATTGTTCCATATTGTTATTTTTTTGCGCATTCTGTTTATAAATGTGCGCGATAATCTCTTCAAAATCTGCTTTTAGTGAAGCTGGTGATATTGACAGTTATCATCGCCGCAGACTGACCTCTGATAAATTGGAAATTTTGGTATTTCTAAAAAGAAATCTTCGGTATATTAATGTTAATATTATTTAAAATATTTATTTCAAATTTTTGAATATAAACTATAACTGATCATTATAATATATTTAAATGATATAAGTTATGGTATAGTTAGATTATAAATGTCATACTTATAGTATATTAAAAATTAAAACCATTCATATCTTTATAGAATACAAAATTAGATATGATATCGGATCGGTTATCGGCCGATCAATTTAATATCAGGAATATCGGATCGGATAGGCCCCCAATGTTATCGATACACTTCTAATAATATTTGTTAATTAGGAGTTTTATTTCAAATATGATATCAAAAATAAAATAGAAAATTAAGATAATCCATGATCCTTTAAAAAAATGTGGTTTTTATATATAAATTGATTCCTTAATTAAAGCATATAAATTCGTAAATAATCCATCAAATATTTCAAAATGATTTAATAACTTAAAAGCAAAATGTTCATCTTACATAGCATTTTAAATTATTGGAATAATTTAATAATTTGTAAATTAATATACATATATGGCAGAATTTTTAACGTACTTCTGGTGATAATATTGAGTGGTAAGATGTAGACATGAAATGCATATGAGCACTTGTTAATTTTGAACACGCAGGATTATGGGTTGTAAGATTGATATCTAAGAGATTTCTTTCATTTTGGTCAAAATCTAAAGTTTTCGGATTTGTAGCCCTTAGCATATTTTTCTGGTTATCATAATCATTTTCTTTTTGAAAAGTGACGAAATCGATATCATTTTGTAATTGAGTAAAATTTTTAGTATCTGACAAGTAAGAATTAGTCTGATTATCTATATAAAAGTGATTGCAATTTAGTTAATAATCTAATATAATATAGAATTGTACCATATATGTCCAATGAATCTTGAGTCAAGCTATTTATAAAAAAAAATATATAAATGTTAAATAGAGGAAAAGGTATGGGCAAAAGAAGAGACACTTTGAAATTTTCTGTTTTTCATGGCCAAGCTTTGGTTTATAATCACAAATGATTAGTATTGTATTTCATTTAAAATATGGGCAATTATGACTTGTAAAATATATTTAAATCCCTTTTTTGTTGTAAAACAAACAATAAAAAATATCTTAGCTCTCTATTTTTTCTTTTAAAATAATACAATTATTTAAACATTTACAATTTAATTTTGGTTCCTTTTATTAGTTTTTTTTTATCATTAGGTAAATTATGGATATAATAAAAAATATATAATTATAAAATAACCAAGAACGATTATAATTTGATAATTTTTTTGAAAATATCGGCCTTATATTTTATTTTAAAATGGTAAATATTAGCTCTAATTCGACATTTAATGTCGTATTCCAGGGGATCATCCATATGACAGGCAAATTTAAATAAAATTATTTTTATATATTAAAATTAAATATTTACAAAATTGAGTTTGAATTTATAATTAGTTTTCTTTCAATAAAAGGTCTAAAAATATGACGATAGTAGTGTATATTTTATTTATAATTATTAAAAAAAATATATATCATGAAAAATTAATGTTGGTCCAATTTATGTAACCTATGTTGATGGTGGCTAAAAGGCAATGTGCCACTAGCTGTTGATTAGATTTTTAAACTAGCATTGACCACTAATAGTTTTGTTGAGCACAGGTCCAATTATAGCCAAATTTATAAAATATTTATATTGAGAGCCATTATAAAAAAATTAGTGTTTAAATTTATAGAAGATGTTGAAGATTGTAATTAATAAAATCATTAAAAATAACAATATTTTAATCAGAGAACTGGAGATAGTAATTATCTACTAGAGGTGGGCGCGGGCCTAATTTTTTATTCACGGCCCGCCCGCTCACGGTGGCAATAAAAAAAATCACGCCTATTCACGCTTACCACTAAAAAATTTTCGACCCGACCCGCCCGCTCACGACAAGCAATATTTTGATTAACGCCCGTCACGCCAGAAAATTCACGGTGTTTTTAAATTTTTCAAAAATATTGCTATAATTTCACACTTTTTTGAATTCATTCTATTTATTTCTCTAATTTCATAATCCATATTAATAACAAAAATAAATACAATCTATAACTCTAAATTTATTTAGAAAAAGAAGAATGCCCATCTTTTTTTATTTCAATTGTGTACGCCTTTCCTCTAATGAGAGATTGGCTACAGAAAATAACCTCTAGAAGCCGAACTAATAATTATCTTAGAAAAGGGAATGAATATTCCTGCTTCCAAAACTTCAAAATATTTCTTGTTATTTATCTTATATGAATCTTTTAAGTTCATCCTCACAGCTTTCATCGGTGATGTTGATGTTTTCATCAGAATCATCTAAAAATTCTCTAAATTTTTTATTTAGAATATACGGTCTTTTATGAGTGTAAGATGAATTAGGAAAGTGATAGTTGGTATTGACCATTTAGAATATACGGTTTTTTATGAGTTTAGGATAAGTTAGGAAAGTTATAAATGATAGTTGGCATTGACTTATGCATATCATCTAATTTTATATCATTTCGCATTTTTCATTTTCTTCTTTTATTAAAAACTTAAGTCTTTTGAAATTCGAATCTAGAATTAAGCCTAACTTATGTAGTTCCTGCATAATAATCTTTTAAAAGAAATCTTGTTCTGTATTTTAAGGTTTTGATTGTTATTGTATCACGTTCAGAAGGTTAACAAAATTTTATTAATTTTTATTTCCATAGACAAACTTCATTTATTGTGGGACGAGATGCTCTCAGATTATCCAAGCCTTCTTTAAATATTGATAATAATTTATCTAACTCGCGTATGATGCTGATATCAATTGTGGCTAATCTATTTAATTATTGTTGCTAAACAAGTACACCTGTATTTCAGAATATGATTTTAAGAAACTCTGTATCATGATATATACAGAGTTCCATCTAGTTATACTCGCTATTACAACTCGTTTAAGGGTGTGGCTTAGTTTGCTATTAGCTGTAGATTGTTTGAAATATTGTACTATTTTTTTACACCATTTATTATGGCTATTTCAGTTAAACAATTGTCAAAAATATAATGCATAATATTATTTAGTATATGGCATATACATGCAAGCGTTTCGTCATCTTTGAATGCACTTATAAGATTTGCTCTGTTATCACTCACAACACATTTATTTAAGTATTTTCTACTTCTGTATATTCTCCTAAAATTAATTGATTACACTTTTAATTTTGACGTTTTTTCATCCATTGCCACTGTGTCCAAAACAAATGTTTTTAATTTAAAATCCTTAATGATAATATGTCCTATAATTGTTAAAAAACTTAGATTTTTATAGTCATCCATCCAAATATCAGTGATTATAGACAAGTAATTATTATTGATCATGCTTTTAATCTTAAATTTTATTTCATGGTATATTTTTGGACCTATGGTATTCATGAGAGTTTTCCAGTTCACAACTTTTATATTTTGTTATCCATATGTAACACCAACATTTATCTCTTGGCCTAGCTTGTAAAATCCTTCACCTTCTGTGGCATTTAAAGATTGAAGATCTTTATAAATAAAATATAACTGACTTTTCTGTAAAAAGTTTATGCAAAATTTAGCATAAAGTCTCGCGACAAAAAACATCTAGAAAAAAAACATCTAAACAAAAAAAGAAAATAGAACTAACTAAATGATACTGGATGTTGTTTATAAAATGCGGAAGATTTTTAGCTTTCATTATTCTTTTTTAAAAAAGAACTTAAATAAGAAAATATATAATATAATTATAAAATTGCTAATTTATATTTATAAAAAAACAATTTAAATAAATTAAAATTTCCGTGATTCACGGGAAATTTATGTTCACGCCCAGGGAAAATTTTGGGAAGGCCCATCACACCTTGGAATTTAAAATTTATTCACACTCACACTGTGACCCACCGTGACACAATGGGTCACACCTAATTTCACGGCCACTCTACCTCTAATATCTACCACCCTTTAGGATTAAGGGTATGTATCATTTGAAACCACTGAGATTTTTTTTTTAAAAAATTAGGCTGGCCCAGGTTTTAAATTTTCAGACCAGGCTGATTTTTTATTTTTATAGCTAATAGTGGCAATTTAAATCAATTTTAAAAATTATCTGCTGGCCCAGGTTATTTTTTTTAAAAAATTAAGGGCTGGCCTGGATGTTTAAAAAAAAATTTAGGACTGGCCCAAGTATATTTAAAAAAAAATTGAATATGGCCTATATGCCAGATAGTGTTGTTAAACGGCTTGTTTTGAGCCGATTTTTAAAAACGACTAACTCAATACTTCACTTGAAAAATATTACGCAAGCCTGAAGATTTTGCTCATAGAAGGAACAAAGGTCCATATAGATATTATCGAAATCTCAAGGCTTAGGCTATATTTTTCTGGCTAAAATATTGAGTTAGCCATTTTAAAAATCGGCTCAAAACAAGCCGTTTAACAACACTAGCCAGGCATGAAGGTCTCTGATTTTAATAAATACCTTTTATGGATAAAACATATCTTCCATCGATAAATCATAAAATTAAAAATATAAACTTATAAAATAAAATTAATTAAAAGTCCAAATGAAGAGTTTTTTTTTATATAAAACAGAAATGCTCAATCTATTTTAAAATTTATATTACTTCTCAAATGTTGTGGTATAATCATTTCTAGAGCGACAAAGCATATACTTCTTAACCGTTTCAGGCATTGGCGGTGTCTTTGGAAGATTATAATTTTTATGCTCTAACTTATTTTGCTGATTTTGTGCACAAGACCACTATACAAACATAATTATTATAAATTATGATTAAATAACTTTAAATAATTTATCCTTTAAATTGATAGGAGGTGTGGGTGATTTTGGAATTTTGATTGAAAGTAAATTGTATGGAATCATAGTTACATTTAGTTGATCGTCATTTGCTGCTGTAATTTTTGATGAGCTATATATAATGTAATTAACTTGGTTATTATTTATCAAATACTTAAGGCTGGAATCAATGGATGTTGACACAGCTTAATAAATAATTTTTGTAATAAAAAATTATAAATAATTTACATTCATCTTCCTTTTCTCTGCTTTGTATTTTAGTTTTTATTAAATTTTCAAGTAACTTAACATTATCCAATATATCTTTGTCATAATAATTATTTTGGATGCGTACAATTTCTTTCTATAATAAACTATTTAATAATATTTTACAAATAAGAACACCTCATTTTTATTGATTTTATCTTTTAAATTTGTTAAATAATTTTCATTAATGTTTAATATATAGTTATTTTTGAATATATCTTTATATTTTTGAATTTTTTGTTCAATATCTTGATTAGAAAAATAATTATTCATAATCTCCTTGAATTTTAAATTTGGCAGAAAATTTGGAATTATGTCAATTAATATAATTAGAATGTCTAAAAATGTAAATGTCTGGATGATTGATATACTAACTGTCGACATTAATTAATTATTATTACAAAATATCTTTTCTTAATAAATGATAAATAATATTATTATATTAAAATTTCGTAATTAATCTTCAGCCAGGAAAGAGTGCAATAAAATTTTCAGCCCAAATTTTCTTGGAATATGGCATTTTATTTTAGATTATTTAAAGTGGAATCATAATTTGTGCGCTGCAGAATATTAATTTGGTAAAATATTGTATTTGATATTTTTTGGTTTTCGATCTCTATATTTACTAATCGAATATCATCATATTAAATAAGTTTAAGATGTTTAATAATAAATTACGAAAACAATTCTGTTTTATTATTTATTGACCATTGAGTCAATACTTTGCAATTTTTGAAATAAAATGTTAAATCAAAATACTTGACAAATATTCCTCGCAAATTGCAAACAGGGAATCTTGACGCAACTTTTTTATCAAGTTTTACTTTAGTAAAATGATTACTGAGGGATAAACCAATAATGTTATAAGTTCGGTTAAAATAAAAATAACATACTATACTATGGTTGAGGTTCGGTTTGTAAAAAATAATATCGGCTCGGTAAAAACTTTTTAACACAGTTCTGACCACATAAAAGCGTTTTAGAATTAAGTATTAAAAAATGAATATTTAATAAATTTTATCATTATCTAAAAATGAAATCGAGCAGTATACAACTAAAATATTTTCAAGATTCTCTTCTGACAAATTAAATCCAGAAGAATATGAAAATATAATTACTGATACTTTTTAGAAAATAGTTGATTATTAAGATATATTTAAGAGATAAAATATCAAATCAGTTTATATGCAGTTTTACAGGTTCCGTTTAGGCAGCGTCTACATGAGTGGGGAAGGTAGGAACAGTTGCTTTCAATTTTTTGAAGGGGATAAGCGAAATTTATTAGAGTTTTCTTTTAAATTTTTAAATAAGAAAGAGCCAAATATACTTCTGTAAAATATTATTTAATATAATTTTTATATGCCTATTTTAATAATACAATGATATTGCTAAACAATGACCAAATATATTTATTGTATTTAATCACAGACATTATATTTCAAACAAAACATATTTATGAATAATTTTCGGATATCTTTCAAGTGTAATTTCTAAGGTAAGACATTCTATCAGCACTCTCTTTAACACTTTTCATTCCAAAATAATATTTCTTTTCTAAATTAAAGAGAGTCCGTGAATTTTTCGTACTTGACAACAATTTAATCTTTTATGAATGAGCGTGTCTAGTAAAGATAAATTTGGTTTGAATAGCGTAATTTTTTGTAACTAAAGTGAGTGGTCCTTTTTTTGGTCAAAAAATAAGGTCCGCGCCAACCATTAACCAATTGGATACGGTATCTGAAAAGTTTGGTCCAATTTTTTACGTATGTTTTAGTGATATAACCATTTTTTGCTAGGGTATTAGCAAATCCACCTCACGTATGAGTTTCATTTTTCAAGATAAAAAGTAAAGAATTTGATATTAGAATTGTTTTATACAAGATTCGGAATGTATTAATAGTTGAATATAACATAAATAACTGCGAATTTTTATTGGTTCTAGATTACAAATATGCCACATGATTTAGTAATAATTTTCATTTTTTTTCTGGCTATCAAGATAAAAATAATTTCCAAAATGGTATTTATCATTTATTTTATAAAATATTTAAAATCAAAGCATATCATGGAAATATGAGTGTAATATTCAGTTCTTAAATGTGAATGTAATGTTATTCCTGAAGGTTAATTTGGCAGGCTTAATATATTTTTTAGAAATTTAATTCATATATAAAGGCTGAAAACTTAATAATATTAAATTCGTAAATTATGAATCAACTTTTAAAGTAACAAAATTACTAAAAATCCTTGGTTAAAAATGATCGATTTAACTAGTTTTATTAAAGGCTCTATGTATGTGATTTTTAATACGATTAACTCAATATAAGTTTTAAAATGTACCATATAATCCTAGAGAATTTGCTCATAGATGGCAGAAAGTTTTCGATATCTATTAAATAAATTTAGACGTTAAGGTAATATATTACTCTTTCAAATTATGATAAATCATGCTCTTTGTATAAATTGACTAAATATAGGAGTTTTAAAACCCTATATATATATTAACAGTTCATTTGTCAAATACTTAAATAAATTAGGTCAAATAAAAAAATATTTGAAGTGATAATATATTTTTGCTATTATTAATAGTTTTATATTAAATCAAGATATATTTTTAGAATTATTTTATACTATTAAGAATATATTTTACCTTTTATTGATATGCAATTTAGAGAATTTAAATTATACTATAAATTAATGATTCAAGTGTTTTCTATTTTTGTGTTGGTGACAACAAATATGCTTGATTCTTCTCAGGCCCATTAAACTGGCTAAAAAGAAGGGGCAATTTAAAATGACGAAGAATATCCACCAAATTTTGGGAGGCCGCTGCATATGTGAACGTAAATACTAGCTTCCTGAAAAAATAGTGAAAATTATCCATACTCGCTTTAAACAAATTTTTTTGAAATTAATATGGATCTGGAAAAGTTAAATTTAATTTTTAATGAATTAAAGCTTAATCGGTTTAATGCTAAGTTCGGTATCTCACTGGGAAATTTTTAATATTATTTTTTTTATATAAAAAATAATAAATATGTGATCGTCTGAATATTGGTGGAAATTTTTTGATGTAATATTATTTCAAAGTTTTATACTCAAAAGTTTTAAGAATTGCATACTTTTTTCGTTCAATTGGTGTAATTTTAAATTTTGATGCAATAAGAATTTTTTTAAATATTTTTTTTTAATTCCCCAGAACTGGAAGATTCCACTCATTTATATATATATGTGAATATTCTTATTTTCTTAATATTAAAGATATGTCAAATTTAATAAATTTTATATGATATAAATATATATTGAACTATTGGTTTTTCCGTTAATATTATATATCTATGGTGATTCCATATCAAATCAACCAAGGTTTCAACCAGACTTCTTTCAATTTTTCTTAAATTTTGTATACTGGTAGTATATACTATAACTAAGAAAAAAATGAAATTTTACTTTCCAACTGTTTACCCACTAAGATATGGCCGTTTAAAGCGCGGAAAAATGGTACATTTTTGACAAAATGCACCTCATTTATTTTCAAATATCTCGTTAGAAAAATAATTTAAATTTTATTTTGTAGCTTAATAAAAGTTCTTTAAAATGACATAAAAAAAATATGATGGACATTTGATTAATATCGAAAACCTAATGTATAAAACCGGAAATGGCCATAGAAAAAAAAGGTATTTTTTTAAAAAAATTTTCCGTAGATAGATATCACACTGCTTTATATTTGTACAAAATCCTAGACTATGATAAAAATGGGTTTAGGAGTTATCACTCTTTATATGGCTAAAATTGAACAAATTTAACATTAACATCATCATATTTTAATTTAATGATTAGTTATGAAATAATGTTAATTTAAAAATTATGTCTAAATGACAGGCTTAACTTTTTTTTTATCTTTATCAAAATTTTTGAGAAGTGGCTGGAATAATGAGCTTTGTTTAACACTTTAGTTAAATTTTGTCTCGCAGTTACTTGACAGAATAATTCTAAACATATTTATAACTTTGCCTCAAATTACATAATTAATTGCATTACATATAATACAATCAATAATTTATAATTAAATAATATCATATATTATAATCATCCAAGGAATTTTAATAAATTATGACTTTCGTTTTCTTCTAGAAGAATAAAAGTTTGCAACTTTGTGTTCCAGACATTCTCTTTACTCAATGCTTTCAAATTTCTATGTTCATATATTCATTATTGCTCATAAATATAATGTACCCCATAGATATTATTTCTTGCATAGTTAAATAAATCTATTGTTGTCAATATGTGATGTTCATATGGACGTTGCAAGCTTGCTCGAGCTGCTATTAGTAACAGCCCCCAAAATGTCGCATGGACTTTTAGCGGTTTCAAAAAATGTCACTCATTTTATTTTTATATTGGTTACTGCTCCATCAGAAAAATAATAAATTTTAGCCACTCTATTAAATCTTTCCTTCAAGAATACGATCAATTTTTACAATAAATAAAATATACATGCGTTGGGCTTTAAAAAATCTGATATAACCACTAAATTTACATGTTTTATTATGTTGTTCTCATGGTAATAAATTATAAAAGAGTTGATAGTGGCTTGACTATTGGTCTGATTAAATCCTTGTGATTGGTTCTGCACTACAAATGGATAGTTTCTGAAAGTGTGCAATAACTAAGAATTCGCCTACACTTAAATTGAATTTTAAAAAGTTTTGAATTAATGATTATCGTGAAGCTATAAACAAATGAGGAATTAAATTGCTTAATTATTCAATTAAATAATCTACAAATTCGTCAGTGTTTCGTGGGTAGTTCGATCAACTGCTATCCATTGTTTGAATGTTTTATAATCTATAGAATTCTCGTCAAATAATACATTAAGCCTTTCTTTTAATTTTGAATATATGAGGGAAAATTTATTGTTGAATTTTAATTTTGGTAGATTATTTTATGCTAAATAAAATATTTAAAATTATTTTGCCAAGTAATTTTAATTTCGAGATAAAATTTAACTAAAGTTTTAAACAGCTCATTATCGCAGCCACCTCTCAAATTTTTTTTATAAAGATAAAAAAAAGTAAGGGCCTAAGACATAATTTTTAAATTAATATTATTTCATAACTATTCATTAAATTAAAATATGATAATATTAATGTTAAATTTTAGCCATATAAAGAGAGATAACTCCTAAACCCATATTCATCCCAGTCTAGGATTTTGTAGAAATATAAAGCAGTATGATATCTATCCACAGAAAAAGAATTTTGAAAAAAATATACATTTTTTTTTCTATGGCCATTTTCGGTTTTACACATCCTGTTTTCGATATTAATCAAATGTCCAACATATTTATTTTATATGTCATTTTCAAAATAAAATTTAAATTATATTTCTAACATAATTATTTCTCGAGATATTTGAAAATAAATGAGGTGCGATTTGTCAAAAATGTACCATTTTTCCGAGCTTAAAACGGCCACATCTTAGCGGGTAAACAGTTTTGGAAAGTAAAATTTCATTTTTTTTTAGTTATAGTATATACTACCAGTATACAAAATTTAAGAAAAATTGAAGGGGGTCGGGTTGAAAATCGACTTTTTTTTGTTGATTTGATATGGAATTCACCGTATATATTATTAGTTTATATAATATCTTTATTCAAATAATGCTTAATTATCTAGTATTTGATTTAATAGTCCTAACTTAGGAGCATCCAATATAGCATATGCCTTTTTAAAATTTTAAAATAATATACTCTATTTTTAATGTAAAATTAAAGAATTGTAAAAATTTTCACAATAAAAATTACTCCTAACTTAATAGAATTTAACATAGTACACACCTTTCCATTTTTAATGTAAAATTAAAGAATTGTAAAAATTTTCACAAGAATAAAATATGGAATTCTTAAAATTTTTGAGTAATGAAACTTTGAATTATTATTACACCAAAAAAATTCCACCAATATCCTCGCGATCACATATTTATTATTTTTAATTAAAAAAACAATAATATTAAAAATTTCCCCAAGTTTCAGTGAGTTTCCCTAAATTAATATAAGATTGGTGCTGAAATGCTTTTTGTTTTATATAAATATTTTTATATTCCTTCGCAAATTCATTCAATTAAAAATGTTTTCACTTAACAATTATTAAATTCAATATCTATTGAAAGCGGAAAATTCATTATAAAATAAATTATAATGCATATTATAAATATAAAATGTTCAATAGCTATAGCTACTATCATGTGTATTGATTGCATCAATCCTTTTTTTAACTTTTGATTTTTGCATTTGTGTTATTAGTGTTCTCTTTTGATTCCATTTCTTCAGTTCTATATACAAATATAAAATTAAGCAATGAATGAAATGCAAAAATATATAAAGGATTGTATTATCAGTTTTTATAAAGCAATTTTATTATGGGAAAAAATATCTTTTGATGCTAATGAAACCCTTCTTAAAATACATAAAGAAATAAAAAACACCATCCCAAATATAGTTCATCCATATCCAGGTGGTGAAAATTTGACATTATCTAATTTGTATAATGATCTTTCTATCTCTTCTTCAAAAATGAAGGAACAATATGATAAAATGGAAAACTATTTAAATATAGTAGAAAAATACATTAAAAATTATGAAAAAGCAGATAATTTTCAAGATATAAATTTTGTTCAATGTAACTCTTATACAATTAAAATTACTGAAATATATGAAATCATCAATAATATATATAGTATGACAAATAAGGAATGGCTTGTTAAAAAAAGTATTTTTGAAAATATATTCCACATTAAGAATGAAGATACTCTACTTTTATTGATTTCCATATGGGTGAATAATCCATATATTTCAACATGTGAAAAAGATAGATCAGTTTTAAAATATCATTTAAATTTATAGATAAACATGTTTGTTTCAATGTTACTTTCATTTTTTTAGCAATACATTTATTCATTTTAAAAAAAATTGATGAAGATAAAAATGAATATATGTGCACAATTAAAAATATAATGATTAAGTTAATTTTTTAAAAATAAAAAAAAACAGCAAAAAGAGGACTCAATATAAAAATAGTTTGCATAAGTTGCCTAGCTCAGCTTGAAAATTTTATTATCAGCAAAAAATTGGATCAATAATAAATAAGGTATTTTTATATCTCCTTAAATAGAAATATATTAAAATAATTTTTTTATCAGTTTATTGTATTAATGCCACAAAATTTAAAATGATTAAATTTAGAAATTAAATAAAGCTTTTGCAAAATTAAGTACATTAAAATGGGTATGATTAAAATGCTCACTCCCTATTATAGAAGGGCAAATTTAATAATATCAATTAGTGTTGTTAAACAGTACATTTTGAGCCAATTTTTAAAAATGGCTACAATATTTAATCTAGAAAAATATTACAGAAGCCTGAAGATTTTGTTTGTAGAAGGAACAAAGGTTTAGACATCTATTAGCCAAATCTTGAGGCTTAGGCAATATTTTTCTAGCTAAAATATTGAGTTAGCTGTTTTTAAAAATTGGCTCAAAACGAGCCGTTTAACAACATAAATATCAATATAGTATCATGTTTAACTTATTGAGTTGATTTATAAAAAGATTTAATTTTAAAAAATAAATATAGAAACATGTTTAGCTCTTTGATAAGATTCAAAAAATGTATATTAATTATTAAAAAATTTTAATAATCGTAATTTAAAAAAAAATAAAATATAATCATGTTTAATTTATTGGTATGATATAGAAAATGTTATTTTTAATTAACTGGCAAATTAGTAAATTTGGATGACTAAAATAAGTATTGTCTATAATTATAAGCTATTTTTAAAAAAAATGAATGCAAAATCATATTTAGCTCTTTAAGTGGATTAATAAAATGGTAATTTAAAAAATTATTTTTAACCAAACTATGCTTCCCCTATTAAAGGAACTCAATTTTAAAAAAACTAATATAGAGTCATGTTTAGCTTAATGAGATGATATATAAAATGTTATTTTAATTTTTAAAAACAGTTGCAAATTAGTAAAATAACAAATAAACACTTTTTGGATAACTAAAATATGCATCCTCAATAAATATGCAATATTATTAAAAAATAAATGCAGAATCATGTTTAGCCTATCAAAGAGATATAGAAATTATTTTTTTCCAATTGTACTATGTATGTTCTAATTTTTTTTTTAAGTGAATATCCAACTTAACTCAACCCATCTAGCATGTGAAAATTTTGAGGAGCTTATATTATTTTTTTGTTAAATTTTAACAATTTTTATCTCAATATTCTGAAAACAATTTAAAATCTAAAAATTTTCAGAATATTAAATTTAATAAACCCAACCTAAAAGATTATTGCTAGTTACTACCAAAGGTAGAGTTAAACCAATCACTATTTTATTTGAATTGTCACATTAATATATAATATAGTTGTTAAGCATCTAGATACAAAGACATTATTGTTGATGTTTTTAGATACCTTATAAAATACATACTTTTACTTAATCTTTTATAAAAAAAATTCATTTATTTTATATGATAATTTAAATAAATAGACACTAAAAAATATTGTCGTATATAATAAAAAATATATATAATATTAAAACATAAAAAAAATATATAAATTTATTTTCCTTTTAAAACTATAGATTTCAGTTTAAGATTGTGAAGGATATTTTACTCATGTAAAGGAATATATAAATCCTTGGTTAGCCACAAAGCTTACTAATTATTAAAAACAATACAAATGATGTACAAATTATTTTATAGATAATTATGCTGACTTTTAATGAATATATTGAAAAATTATTTTTTAATAAATGCACGTTTTAAATGATAATTTTTCTGAAAGGCCGATAAAAATGGGGATATTGACATTTCTGAGAACAAAATATAATTGTTAAAATATTTTGGGCTCTCATAACAAGAGTTTCTGCTTGAAAACAAGGCAAAACATATATTTAAGTATAATAAAGTTAATCTACATATACACATTTTAGACGATTTATCTGTACATGGATTAATTTGAAAAGGATCTTAACAACTCTGAAATTATATATTTAGTATTTATAATGATTTTTGGAAAACATCCATGGTGTACTCGGTTTTATAAGAATCAGATATACTTTTAAATAAAACATAAAATACACCATTGATTAAAATTTTTTACATTGCTTTAAAAAGACAGTTTAGAACTTAATCATAAATACATCAAGAACCTGTTTTATATTGTACTATCTATTTTAAAATTTGCTAGATTTTAGCAAATGGTAATTGTTAATAATTTATTAGTGTATCTTTGTTAAAAAATAATTTAGTTACTTTTTAAAATGAATAACTATGTTTTTTTAAAAATACAAAGGATATAATATGTTGTAATCTATCTAAAGTAACTCATAACAAAACTATAATTTACATATCCGACGCCTAAAAAAGTAGTGTTTTAAAATCTTTATAAATAGAACGTTTTTATTAAGAGGTTAATAATACTGACAAGCATATAATTTTCTAAAAAACAACCTATTTTGGTAAACAACGACCTATATTTTAAAATATATTTAAATGGTTGGAACCAATTGGTCGCCTCCAATCCCCCCCCCCCCAGATGCAACTACGAAGTTGGCTTCAAAAAAAACATAACAACTCAGAACTAATGAATAGGCACTGGCTTATATTGAGTAGACCATAGACGTTTCCAAAAATCATTATTTTTAAAATATATATATCAAAATCTTTATAAATAGAACGTTTTTATTAAGAGGTTAATAATACTGACAAGCATATAATTTTCTAAAAAACAACCTATTTTGTTAAACAACGACCTATATTTTAAAATATATTTAAATGGTTGGAACCAACAGGTCGCCTCCAATCCCCCCTCAGATGCAACTACCAAGTTGGCTTCAGGAAAAAACATAACAACTCAGAAATAACGAATAGGCACTGGCTTATATTAGACGTTTCCAAAAATCATTATTTTTAAAATATATATATATCATAAAAAATGTGTCAGTTTCGATTAAAACTGCCTTTAGTATTAACAATAAACTTTTGTTATTTAAGGGAGTTTATAAAATTTAATATCCTGAAAAATTTTAGATTGTGTTAGAAAATTAAGAGATAAATGTGATAAATTGATAAAAATATAAAAGAGAACAGGATCTTGACGCAGATTTAAGAAACTACTCTCTATAGTTTTAGGAAATGAAAGAGTAATTATTGACCAGGATGAACAAATGGCATTATGGCTTTATTGTTATATGATAGTCTTCCACTCATGTATAGCAACTCTACCAATAAACATAAATACAAACTTCGCCCCACTTTTGTCTGGTTTCTCCATGAATGAAATAACAAATAAAAAGCTAAGGAAAAACAAAGCTACGGGGCTGGATAATATCACAGCAGAATATTTAAAAATTGCACCTACGACAATATCTCGCTACCTATTTGCCCTCTTTCAATTAAATATGGGAGAACGGAACCATTGCAGTAGAATATAACAAATCTTACATATGTAACTTCCCAAAAAAACAAAGACCATAGAAATTTAAGGGTTACTGAGCTATAACTTTCACATAGAGTGTCATATAAATTTTTAATGGTTCTGTCAAAAAAAACCACAAACATATCATCTGCACTTCATCTTTCCCCCAAAATACATGTTTGTACAGGTCAAGCAAAAAATATACTGGAGCAAAAATTAGCTCAGAAAAAAAAAATCATGCAGAAAATAAAGTTCAAAGACACCCTCCTACTTAACATTTGTAGATTTTAGCAGAGATTTTGATAGTGTTAACAATGGCAGCTTCGTTGTCAGAGTATGGGATAGACCACAACATCATTCAGATTTTGAAAACAACTAATACATACGGTTTACATACTTCGAAATCAATGAAGAATATTCCCTTCCTCCAGAGTATAGAAAGGAGTAAAACAAGGTTAAATATTATCGCTGCTCCTAATTAAAATCATAAAAATAAAAACAAAAGAGAAGTACTGGGAACCGCCGGTGTAGTATATGTAGGATTAAATGAGACGTCATGTATTGAAAAGTAGAATAATATTCAACGCAGATGACGTCGTTGTAATGTCCAAGAAAATAATTAAAGACCTAGAGTCATAGTTAACTAGCAATAAACTTCAATAAAACAGTTTTTCTCCTATTATCCCGAAAACGTGTCACCTCTTCAAAAATTACAGTTGGGGATAACGAAGTAAATGTAGTAGCCAAAAGGTTCTTAGAGGTCACATTTGATAATAGAAGTAGTTGCAAAGAAGGAAATAAGAAATAGAATACAAAAGGCGAGAGGAACTTTTTTAAAGTATA